GAAAACCAATGTTTGCTAATGTAATGATCACATACAAAACTTAATTCAAAAGAGAACACTGAACTGATGACCAGGACTGAGCACGGTTTCAGTCAAAAATCCATTAATGTTACATAAATATTTACATTTATGCAATATCATTTAGTTTATCCTGTAGGCCACTGGGCAGCCGTGTACTATTGTGCTCTTCAGTATGTCCTTCGCGGGCCAGTTCAGGCTACTGTGAGCCAAGCAATGTGTAAGGTGACTCCTTAAAAAGTACTTCTTGAATGTTCAGTGCTGAATTTCATAGGAAATCATTCTGCTCATCCATCTTGATCTTGTAAATCTTTACTATCTTAAGTCTTTATTAGCCCATCAGTTTGTTTTCACACATTTTGCCAAGCATCTACTGAGAGGTAGTAGGACAGCACCAATTCTAAGAGGAAATTTTCCCATTAGCTTTCTTCCATGTTAAAGTGTTCCTGCTGCGTCTCTCAGACTGTTTTCATCCTGTAACAGTATTTTTTTACTAATCTTCCTCTCAAAGTTATTTTGACATTAATAGACGATGCCAGTACTGACCTGCTGTGAGGGTGTCAAAGGCTTCTTGGAAATGTTGCTAACCACACTTCCTCCTCTGCTGTATCATGGGTTGTCCTCTCAGACCGAAAAGGATGAAATTTCCCTGTTATCTTACTCTAACAGCCTTGTCGCTAATTTAATGAAACCCTACATTTATAGATGTTACTATAAATGGCTTCTGTTTTGCACCCGTCCTTCTTGTGGGCAGCCTCTTTGATAATCATGAAGGCACAGAAATCCCTGGCTCTCCTGAGGTTTTCTTGAAGTCCAAGCTGTTACTCCTTTCAGAGTGACTTAAGTGTTTTGGTCAAACTACAGCCCAGATGTGTCTTACTCAGCAGTGTTGAACAAGCTTTGAAGGGTGCTTAACTGTCTTGTTGTTACAATTTACAAACCACCGCCACAAAAACTACTAACAATGATTTTTCATGTAACTTAGTACTTTTACTTGAATAAATCTGTTAGTTGTGCCCATAAAAGCTCATCCAGTGTTATTCTGTAACACCCAGACATCCTGATAGAACGTCTTCAAATGAATAAAGTCATAGAATCATAGAATGGTTAGGGTTGAAAATGACCTTAAGATCATCTAGTTCAAACACCTTGCCATAGGCAGGGATGCCTCACCCCACACCGTGTCATCCAGGGGTCTGTCCAGCCTGGCCTTGAACACTCCCGGGGATGGAACATTTACCATTTCTTTGGGCAACCTCTTCTATTTCACAGGGAAAGCTTTTCTGAATCATTACCAAACAGTAACTCAGATTTGCCCACTGCTGCTTCTCAGTGGCCATGTATAGCTGCTGGTTTGTCTTAAGCAAGTTGTATTTTGCTGTAAAGGTAGATGAAGCAATCGGCACTGCAGATTGGCCAAGTCAGTGACTGGCTGGCAGAAGCGTTGTGCCAAAGCTAGTGGCAGACAGATGCACTTTGTTCCTTAACAAGAGGTTCCTTATGCAATTGTTCTAAAATATTTCAGTAGATGAAATGTGAGGGAATGACCTACCCAGCACGTTTAAGAGGAGTTCTTCCAAGTTGGTATCTTATCCTAACAGGGCGCGGTTATGTTACTGGCACAGTCTGTGGCAGCAGAGCAGCTGCTGGCTGCAAGTGGCTGAATTGGACATTGCGACCTGTGAATAGGAAGAGAAAATGAAGATTTATGTCATAGGAAGTTTAGTTGTTGTTCATCTCGAAAGTGGGGAGAGCCACTCAGAAAAGTGAGGGTTTGGGAGGCAATCAAGCTTTTTTATAAATTTCAAGGTATCAGAAGTTCATAAAATGGAATTGCACTTGTGGAGCAGCAGGAATTTCATTTTCCATAATGGCGAGCAGTCTGAGTGTCACTGGAATGGACAGAACTGTCACATCAGGTGTAAATTGCTTTCAGCACTTCCAATGGGTGAAGTAAGAGCTTAGTTTTTTCCCCACCACCCTCTGTCCCTCTTCCCAGGGCATATCTTGACATCGTACACACTTAAGAACAAGGACGTCCTCTGGAAGTTGAGCAGTGACTTGAAAAACCCTGTTAACTCAGACAGGCAAAAACATGTTTAACTAAAGTTGTAATTAATTCTCTATTCTTGCATCCCCCCTGTGAAAAGCTGTTATGCCATTTGCACTTGCCAAGGCCATAGAAATCTCTCACCTTCCTGCAGTTACAGTCGTGTGATTCTCCCTCCTGCATGTCTTCACCCTTCTGCCTGAAATCCCAAATGTCATAAATAAATAATCCAGTCCCCAAAATTAAGAATTTATAAAGAGCATCAAGTAATTCAACTTTTTTTTAGAGTCTTGCTCTGATAAAAGACATCAGAAGACACTGGAAAAGACCAGAATATCTTGCATTCACATCTGACAAAAAACTGCTTTCCTAGTAAAGCATCATGTTTTTTTAATATTTTAAATGCGAGCTGTATTTTACTGACCCATGTGGAGCAGGTGGTTAGGCTGAGTCCATTTATGAACAGAGATCCTGTGCTTCAGACAGGAGAATCATTGCCTGGAATTGAAGGAATCCAAGTCCCCTGTGCCAAAACCAGCAGTTTCATATTATGATCACCGCAGAAGAATATAAGTGCTAAATAAATATACTGGCATTCTCTTTACTGGTCGCAGATTGCCCTTGATATCTCACGATGTGCACAGACACTGAACAAGCATGTAGCGTACATGAAATGCTGAAGGACAGTCTGTGCTGTAAAAATACATGTGCCAACATCATTTGGACCTCTAATATGTCAAATTTTTGTGGTTTGCTTGTCCTCTACTTGTTTATTTATTTCTTAATTTTGTGTGTTAGGATAAATAGATGGTTTCTTAGCCACTCTTGTGTAGCAGCTTCCTTTTCAGTCTTCATTTACCTGTAATGATACACATGAAATCTAGTTGCCAACCTTTTACTGATACTGGTGTACTAGATGCTATTTGCAGGGGCTTTTCCAACCTTTGTTCCCAGTCGATTTTTTCCACTTCAGAGGCCTTTCTTGAAAACTGGAATTTCTTTTGGTAGACACTAACCAGGATTTAAACATTTTTATGAATATTAAATTTTCTGTGCCTTTAACCTGAAAGAGGGGAGATTTAGATGAGATATGATGGAGAAGTTCTTTACTGTGAGAGTGGTAAGGCACTGGAACAGGTGCCCAGAGAAGCTGTGGCTGCCCCATCCCTGGCAGTGTTCAAGGCCAGGTTGGATGGGGCTTTCAGCAATCTGGTCCAGTGGAAGGTGTCCCTGCCTGTGGCAGGGGGCTGGTACTGGATGAGCTTTAGGGTCCCTTCCAACACAAACCATTCTGTGATTCTAAAATGCATTTTCCAATTTCTGGAATAGTGAGTACTGGTTCAGTAAACACTGAAAACTGACTCTGAGCGGTAAGTACTCCTGCCTGATAACCTACTGCTCTGTTTTTGAACAGGAGATGTCATTGAATTCCATGGACCGGAAGGAACAGGAAAAACAGAAATGCTTTATCACCTGGTAGCCCGCTGCATCATCCCAAAATCAGGAGGAGGTCTGGAAGTGGAAGTCATGTTCATTGACACAGACTACCATTTTGATATGCTTCGTCTAGTTACCATCCTTGAGAACAGATTGGCACAAAGGACAGAAGAAATGATCAAGCAATGCCTGGGAAGGCTCTTTCTGGTGAACTGCAGTAGTAGCACTCAGTTACTCCTCACTCTCTACTCCTTAGAAAACATGTTTTGCACTCACCCCTCTCTCTGCCTTTTGATTTTAGATAGCATATCAGCTTTTTACTGGATAGACAGAAGCAACGGAGGGGAGAGTCTCACCTTGCAGGAGATGAATCTGAAGAAATGTGCTAACTTCCTTGTAAAGCTTGTGAGCAAGCATCACTTAGCCCTCTTTGCAACAACACAGACGCTTATGCAGAAATCTGCAAACTCCGCAGAAAGCTTTTTCCCTTTAAAACTGACACATGAAACCGATACAGACTATAGACCATACCTTTGTAAATCATGGCAACAAATGGTAACCCACAGGATATTTTTCTCTAAGCAGTGTAATTCTGACAACAGCAAAGGTTTCACAGTCACTTCTTGCCACCTCAAAAGAAACCATGTAGTAAAACGTTCATTTAGTATCACAGAATGTGGAGTGCAGTTTTAATTTCAGTTTGGTTTTTAAACGTGTAGCAAATCCTGGTGCTTAATCCTCACTGGGTCTAGGTAGTTTTTAGTACCTTTTAAACTAGCTGAAGAAGTTTTGTCACCATTCTGTCACAAGATTTTAATTCGGTGCAGGGCAGGAAATGTTAATCTGTTTGAAGTACTGTATACATTCAGTCCAAACTAGCGAGGAATGTTGAAATTACTTGTTTGTACTTAATGAATGAAGAGATTAAATCAAGAAAATCATAATCAAAGACATTCTGAACTCCTAGGATCCTTCAGTAATCTAACCTATGTATTACGTGGCCAAATGCACTGACTTCATTTCTGGGTCTTACTGCTTTATACTACTTTTCCAAACTACAGAACTAGTAGCCTTGTTGTCCATGGAGGAGAATGCAAAAAGGTGAGTGTTCACTGTTTAGACATCCTGGTCTAGGTTTATTCCCGGTAGCCTGGGACATATGAAATGCATTCACAACTTTGCCTGAAGAAGAGGATTCATTTTCACAGCCTGTTAAACAGTGGTGACCTTGACCATGCTTCCCCAGTCTCTCAGCCTCTCTGTGTTAGCGTGTGCTTGGAGAAGTGAGGATTGCAGGTGTTTTGACCCTTACAAACCTCTGGGTCTGAAGAATTTACAGTGATCATAAAAATGGAGGCCTGATTGCCTTCAGGAGCCATGAAGGAAAACTAAAGACACAGCTCTGGGTACCTGTGAGATTGTGCTGCATGCAGCAAACAGTTTAGGCTTTGAAAATAATGGCATGTGGGTTATGGGTTGTTCTGGGTGCGGGGGGGTTGGTTTTTGTTGGTTTCTTTAGATGTATGCACAGACATATGTTTGTGTTTTCTTTCTCTGCCCTCCCTCATTATTTCTTCCCACTTCTTTCTCTTCTCCCACTCTCTCTAAGAAATCCAGGAATGCCATGCCTCTGGTCTTCACCAATATGTATTTGCCACATGTAGAACATTTGTGTGCAGGATTTGGCATGCAACATGTTGCAATTCTGGCAAAGAAGATTCAGAACTTATGGGAAATGCCCTACAGTTCTGGCAAAGAATAGCGTATTATTTATTAACCTAGAGTGCCCTTTGAAAGCTTCAAAGTGCTTTACAAGAAAGAAAATTGCACACAGTACATTATTTAATACAAAAACTTACATTAGCTTACAAATTTAAATTACTCAAACAAGGGGGAAAATATTTCTCACAGCAATATTCGTTCAGTCATGTTGCACAGCTTGTTTCATAGTTTAGATTGAAGAGATTGTTAACAAAAATGCATATTAAGAAGAGGTATCTAGCATAGTATCTTTTTGAGGAGGATGCCTAAAAAACTCTGTTGTGAGACACCTTTTAATTTCCTAACTTCTGAAGCCAGCTTTTTCAAGCTGAACATACATGTGGGTTCCCAGCTGTGTGTATCTCAGCGTGCATACCCAGACCTCTGTATGTAGAGCTAGGAACATGTATCTGTACTGTCATTCACAGAATGTGGCATCTCTATGATTTGGCTGGATTTCTGCACAGGCAGTGATTGTCCCACCACCGACAGCAGCAAATACCAAAGTTTTGGGAAGGAGTGTGAGACACATTGGTTTTCAGTGGCATGGCCTCCCTGAGGATGGGGCTCGGGTTGCTCCTAAGCAGAGCTGTGGTCAGACCTGTGTTTGATGGATGTTGATCAGACCTATCTTCAATGAATTCATCCAATCCATTTTTAACTCTCTCTCTTGGGTTCCACCGTGTTTTTTCACGATGAGTTCAGTTTAATTATTTTTCTGTGGGAAAACTTCCTTTTTTTCTTCCCCTCTCATTTTAAACCTTCCATCTGAATGCTTCCTCATGCTGTCACTTCTTTTACTGTGACACATGAGCAAAGTTTGCCTTTTCACCATCTCTGCAGAGGTGATAACTTTATAGACTGTCACTTCATTTGTGCTTTCTCTTCCATCAACACCAATACTTACTTTATTTCAGAACTTCTATAAGTGCGCAAATGCATTAAAACATACAACTTAACCATTCCTAGACTGGACCCAAGGGAGAGGTTTTTACATGAGGAGACACTTCCATTCAGATTAATTATAAAGGGCTTACATGATTTTTTTTGGTAAAAAGAAAAGAGGAAAGATTTAAATAGAACTATAAAACTTTTAAATGTGAAAATTTCCAGACTATATAATTTCTATTACAAAAAAAAAAGTCAGTCCCCTTTTCTATTGGAGAATTTAGCGCTACTGAGATTAACTGCTTTGTAAAATTGTATTTACTAAAAAATGTGTTTGAAAAAAAAACCCAAAACAATGGAAGTGTTCTGGCATTCCTGTCTGGAAAAAAAGCTTTTATGTCACTCACAATGTAGTTGATATTTTGCATTGTACAATAAAAGAAATGCCTAAATGGAAATGAAGCCAAAGTTATAATTGATCAAAAAGAGCACCTCAGGAATTTTTTTAATTTTCCAGTTTTATTATACTTTGAAAAAAAACAGATTTACTTTTTTTGAATTCTCTGGTAATTGCAGTATTCATGCTCTGCACGTTTACTTTAGCAGCATCGCAAGCCTGGCTTTCAGAGGTGCTGAGCATCTCCATATACCTGTACATTTGCAGGAGGGATAGGCAGTGTGCAATCCGGGAGTGCACTGACCTTACTTTCTGCTAAAATTATGCCATTTAGAAAAATGAACCTTGAGGATACAAGTCTAAGAAAGATGCAGTGATAAAGAGTCTGGGAAGCAGCAATTTTGTTCATACCTTAATGAACTGTGGATATTAAAAATGTTTTTTTTACCATTTTTTTAAATGGTGAATTATCTTTATTAAAACTATGTAAAAATTGCAGTTAATGGAGAATGCAGTTTCTCCTTGTGAGAACAGGAACAGTATATTAAATGTAGCATTATATGTAGTTTATAGCATTAAATCCATATTCTCCTCTCTCACCTAGACCTAAGTTACCGCTCAGCCTCCAGCCCGCTGTCTAACCTGGAGCAACCTGTGCTGCCGCAGCTCAGTCTTCCAGGGAGTAAGCACCTTTTGGGTTAGTAGGTCTGTGCCACTGGAAATCAGCCCTGCAAAATATAAATGCATGTCATTAGGTATGAGGCTAGAGCACATGTATTCCTCAGCTCCCATTTCTCCCGGTATTTCTTAGAAATGAAAATCGTTTCATGTCAGTATCATTGTTCTGCAGCTCGGTGTTGTATTATTGCAACTTTTTATAGGCATAGGAACTTTTCACATTCCTTAGAATTTTTGTTTGTTGCTTCACTGTTGGATTTAAAGCAGTGAGCTTGAAACAAAGAGAAACTAGTTCGCCCTTTTTTCCTCATCCTTTTTATAATGAGAGAGCTTTTCAGCAAAACAAAATTAAGGTTTTAAATTTATTTTCAAATTAAACCAGTATTTCTATGGACATCTGGAAGGAAAATGCCATTTTTATATTCAGCACAAAGTTCTTTCTATTCCTAGACCTTTTTATAGAGCAAATAAAATACAAATAATGGTTTGCTTGGTTTAAGTTTGTACTTGCATACAAAAATTCAAATTTCCTTTTTCTTACATAACTGATTCCAGGCAGTTAATTTTCCATAGAGCTTGGAAATGGCAGAAGATAAAGGTTCTCATCTGGAAACATACCTGCAGTTGTGTTTTTACTGGAGGCTAATGGACAAAGGCAGACGACAACACTATTTGGATGGCTGCTGGCCATAAAGCTTAGACCATGTCCTGAAGAGGAACATGACAGTTTAGTTATTTTCTGTGGCTGCTCTAATAATTGTCTCTTGAACCTCTTTATTCAAATGTATTTCTGATATGCAGCTATCATAGCATGGCAGTGGCCAACACCATTTTGCAATCAGCAAACCTTATGCCAAACTTAATACCCATTTCAGGAGAAAGCCATGCCACCAAACTTGAACTTGTATAGGATGTTGCAGTGAATAGTCACCTGCATAAAAGCTGCAGATAGTATTAATGTTTCCAACAGCTATGCAGCAGTGTGAGACTTGGGCATTTTGTAAAGAAGGGGAAACTGGAAGAACCTGGAATACCTTGAGGCTTTGGCAGTGGAGAAAATTTCCAGACAGAAAGGAGCATCAGTACCATGCATCTGCAGGATCTTCAGGGTAGAAAACTCTCATGCCCTGCAGCAGTCTCTGAAAGAAAAGATTTGGCCATCCCTGCGCATAAAAGAAGACAGGAGAATGGCACTGAGCGATGACTAACCTATGGTATGACAAAAGGACTCTAGAACTGTTCACTAACATGTCTAGCTAGCATGGTAATACTTTCAAATATAAAGTTGGTCATAGCTGACCTGTAGGTTCTTCCCACCAAAAGATGAAACTGGTGATGGTTAACACTATGTAGACGCTATATAGCTTATTTATAATGAAGATATAAAACCCTGCTTCTCTGAACCCAGGAGGAATTAAATGTAAAAACAAACTTCCTTTTCTTATGTTGTTTTCTTTTTTCTCTCCCTTCCAGCTCTAGGCGCCTTCCCAAGAGTCATCACTTAGCTCCAAGAGCACTCACAGCTTTCTGTGTCAGGCATGTGCTTTACTGGAATTGGGTAGTTTTCTCCTTTGCTGAGAGTTTATGTGTACACTCTTTATGATCAGCATAGACTGGGAGAGACCTGAATACAGAAGACTGAACCCATGTGGCACATCAGTGTAAGTGGGAAATAACTTTGGAGACTTCATTCTATATGCAATCGGGAGTAATGTCACATTGGAGTAGATGCTTTTGAAGAAACATGGCTGTGACTTTCCTTGGGAAAAGGTTGGCAGTCTTCCCTCTGCTTTCCCGCACTGCTTTGCATCCTACCCCAACCAACTGGTTGGTGTACCTGTGTGGGCCACAGTGCTTGAGGACAGCAGTGACAAGATGTCACCGCCTTGCCAAATGCTGGGGAACAGCCATGTTCTGGATCTTGGCACTCATCCTGCAGGAGTTGGCACAACCACTATAGTTTTTACTTTAAACCATTTGCCAGGCTTCTTTCTCATACATGAAGCCAGGCCTGTGCTAAGACCTCCTAGCCCTGGGGGGAGATAAGGAAGATAAGAAATCCTGGGGGTTTTGAGTATAAGAAGTACAAGATTCTTAGGCTGCTGCTATAGAAAGGCCAAGCAAGGCCATGAGGTTCCTGGTACTGGCTGATAGCTGTCAAGGCCTGAAAGGTGGCTTGGTGAAGGCCAAGGAACAGACTCCACATCTTCCTCACCAACTGCTCATATTGTGAAGGGATGAATAGGATTTTTGACTTAGAATCTATGTGCATACTTTCATACTTTACCATACTGCTGAGAGAGAAGACCATGCTATGGTGGGCAGTATTATCTCTGAAGTGAATCTCAAGCCTTTTGCGAACTCCATCACTGATGGTTCTGTCTCCAGCCCAACATCTCCATAGACTCCCAGTGTCCATCTCCATGAACGAACAGCAGCGATCAGTGAACATCATCACATTTGCCTTTACTGGGCATGAGGGACACTGTGTGTTTTGGGCATCATCAGCTGGAGCAGACCTGAGCCACACTTTCCAACTTTAACCATCTTCCATATCTGACATGATGTCACCGGTCAGTGAAAATGCAATAGCAAGCCCACACCCTCTGAACAGCCAGACTTCCAACTGCAAACCCATCCTCTGCCCTCAGTGAGCGCTCCAGTAGCACCACTGCTGAGCCCCCAGCTGAACCCCAATCTCTTGCACTGTGTTTTCCCTGAAGAATCCTTTTTCACAGAAGTGCACAACTCCAGGTATTATCCCACAGTTATGTAACAAATCCATGCCATATTTGGACAGTGCAATGAAGGGGTTTAGAAAATCGGTGTACGTTAGCGGAGATCTTGTCAAGGCAGGCTGGTTTCTGCTCAGTAAAATCTCAGGCAGTTTTAACAGCTCTGAAGCTGCTTTTGACTTGCAAAACTGCTAATATTTTGCAAGTCAAAAGCAGCTTCAGAGTTGTTAAAAACAGTATTTTTAGGTACAGAAATTACTCTAGCGTGTCCTCAACATTATAAGGTCAGGAGAAGCCTCTCTCTGCTTTGCACAGTGGCAGTTGTGCCATTCCAGCTGCACAGCATCCAGAGGTGTTGCTCTGCTGACTTCCAGCAGTACATCACCTGCTGGGCTTGCCTTATCCCTCCTCGAAAAGCAGCATGCCTTTGCGATTTGGGTTCATGGATGGGGTCATGCCCTCTGGCCAACGTCCTGCCTGCAGCAGGGTAGGTATGATGGCATGTATGTCTTCAGCAGGTTCTCCACACAGTTAATCTGTGGCTGGTCACATCCTGCCTCACTGCTGTGGAAAGCAGCGCAGTGGAGGAATAGCCCGGCTTGTCCTGGGCACCTGAAGCCACCCCTGAAATGGCGGAGGTTTCCTCTCCAGGTCCAGAATCCATGGAAGGGCAGCTGGGAGAAAGTCTCCAAGGCAGAGCTGTGCCCCAAGTGAGAAGAGGCTCTGAGGTATAAAACTGTGAAAAGTATTTAATAAAAATTGCCTGTTGCAAAGCTGAATAATGTAAGAGCTTAGTAATTTCTCAGCCTGCAAAGCTATCAACTCACACGGCCAAACCGTCCAGAACTGGGGAGTTAACTACTGCCCAGACTGAGTGAGGAAGTGAGAGGGGGAAGCGCAAGGAAGAGGGAGGCTGTTTGGGGAGCCTCTCACGGCTTTACTAAAGCATGGGAAAAAGGAAAGCCATATGGTCAGCAGAAGTTGGCAGGCAAAGGGCTCTGTTTCACTCAAGAGCCTGTGAAAAATGCCCACAATGGAGAGGAATGGCTTCACTAGAAACGGCAGACTCCAAAATGGTCAGGAGGTTGCAGGAACAGCCAGTGGCCACCACGACAAAGAAAACCTGGCTGGAGAGGACATACCACCAGAGGTGCAGGTCTGCTCCTGCATGTCCTGGTGGGAACAGCTCATTGCCACTCCAAGCTCCTCTCATGGCTCCTTCCAGCCAAAGGTGGGAGAGAGTTCAAGCCATTCTGACAAGCTGAAGACTGGTGGGAAGCTATTCTGTCCCCATGGCTGCTGGGCAGTCTTGCCCCATGGTGGGGAGTTTTTGCTTGCAATGTCATGACTGAACTTTCCCTCATACCTTAACATTGTGATTCTGCAGCGAGGCTAATGCCACTGTTTGCACTTAGATCACTATATATATCAGAGGTACTTTTCTGACAAGGAAGTCCCATTTTGTGAAGTTGTACAGGTGTTCCTACTTTCACCCATGATCATTTCACCCATGAAAATGATGCTATTAATAAAATCTATGAATACCCTAAGCAAATGATACAGACCAGTTGCATAGTCAGTGAAGCTACAGAAGCCAGCAGAGCTTTGAATAGCCCATGCACTTAAAGGAAAGGGCTCACTGTCTTTAAAATCCATGGATGTGTTCAAAATATGATTATTCTGCTGTCTTGTTCACACCAAACCTTGCAGGCTGATGCCACACAACCCTTCCCATTGATTGATGCAGCCTGCAGGAGTGCTCTCAGTGTATTAAACTCAAAGTCCCTGGCTGAAGATAATTAACTTAAACATCCCTGTCTCTCGGAGCAGACGCACAAAAGGATTTGCTAGCACAGCTGTTGATGTGGAAATGTCCTGCGGGATGCCGTAAGCATCTTAACAACTGGCTGAACTTTCTCCTTCGCTCCCACAGGTGTGGTTAACTAAAACAGCAGCCAGTGCTGGCTGGAGACAGGCCCAGTGCCTGCCAGAGAGTACCCATGATCAGCTCAGCTTTCCAAAGACACTGCTGGCTGATAAACACTTGGGAAAAGAACACCTTCCATGAGACCAGGTTGCTCCAAGCCCTGTCCAACCTGGCCTAGAACACTGCAAGGGATGGGGCAGCCACAGCTTCTCTGGGCAACCTGTGCCAGCGCCTCACCACCCTCACAGGGAAGACCTTCTTCCTAATGTCTAATCTTTCAGCTCAAAGCCACCCCCCTCTTGTCCTACCCTTACATGCCATTGTATAACCATCCCTCCTCAGCTTTCTTTTTGGCCCCTTTAAGTATTGGAAGTGAATGTTAATTGGAAATGAATGTTAACAAGTTAAAGCAGCATAACAGAGTGTTGAGATTTCAAAGCAGGCTTTTCTTTCTGTGTGTTTGGGGTTTATTGCAACTACTAATATCTCTTCCAGGAAACAAAATTTCCCAACACTTCCTTTTCTGCTAAGTCATACAGTGTGTGTGGTATCCTACCCACAGGAGACCTAAGAGGCAAAAGGCAAGGAAGGGGTACAGTCTCTGGGTTTATTTTCTGGACTGAAGCCATACTGCAGTTTGGACTGCGCATTACACAGCAGTGCTGTTCCACTTATGGATTGATCTGATATATCATGGGCAATGGGAGGAGGGGGTACCAGAAGACAGTGCAGGTGGAGCTACAGACAGAGGTATTTAAATGAACACAGTGGATATAAAGAGGAATTCTGCAGTGTCTGAAACCCAAGAGTAAAACTTTGAACTACTCCTTCTGAATTTGCACTCTTACATATACATCACGGCTGCGTTAGAGCCTGAAGATGGAAACCAATTCCTAGGTCTTTTGATCCCAGAACCTGTTTTCTCTGGGAGCAAGGTCTAGCTTCTAGGAAAATAAAGGTAACACAAATGGAAGTGCTGTTAGGATAAGAAATCACCAAATACCAATGTAAAAGTTCAAAATGTGCTGGGTTCCCAGTGTTCAGAGTTGATGCCTGGCTAATCTCTGCTCTGGAGCATTTCAGTGTCACTGTTGTCCTGCCATTTATTTGAAGCCAAACCCATTATTTTTGGGAACCCAGTAGGTTTTCAGACTCTCCTTCAAAAAACCATTCAGTACAATTATGGGGTAGGATGTACTAAAGCTAAGTTTTAATTCATCAACAGACTAAGCCATGCATTTATCTGCTTCTAGGATTCTTGTGAACAACAGCAACACACAGATAGGACTGAAGGCATTTCATCTTGCAAAGCCATCACGATTCAAAACAGAACATTCAAAGGGAATAGGGAAACCTTTCAGCTCTGGCCATGTGTCATGAAAACTGAATGCAAGGTACATTTTCTTACACTGTGGCCTCCTGCCCCAGATTTCCTCCCTCTCTGAAGCTGTGAGCAGAAGCTCAGGGCAGTGAATCTCCTCTTGCTGAAAGAAGCCCACTGTAAACCAGAATAAATACAAGTAGATACTGGAGTAGAGGCTTGGAGCCTCGTCTCATTTTGGACTTGCTTTGTCTCCTTCTCACTAGTTTATTGGTCTTGATACTTAAAAGCAGATCCTGATAATCCTGGGTCAGGTGGTGTTAGGTTTTGAATACAAAAGGAAAGAGAGGTCAGAGTGGTTTTGATACACAGAACCAACCCTCCCCCCAGTCCTATGCAGCTGTGTAAAAGCCTTAAGTACTCCTGTACAAGGAGTACTTACCTTTTCTAGCACTTAAGTACTACCTTTTTGTAGAGGTACAGCTGATGCCTTGTTCAAGTATCTATTTTTAATGCAGGAAAGGAAACACAGAAGATAGTTTAAAATGCAGCTTGCCAAAACTTCTGCCACCAAACAGCAGAGCTTAAAGGTCTGTTTAAGACAATTTTAGCAAACAGAACTCTAAAAGGCTTCGGTATAGTGCAGCTTTGCAACAAGTGGCCACAGAATAGGTTCTGTAGTGCTGTCTGTTAGCTGGGTGACACTATTGCATATTTGCTAGATGTCTGTGTAGCTAACATTCACAAACAGGCCACGGTAACTCCAGAACCATCTACAGCCTTAAATGCTAATGACTACAGCAGACAGAAAACAATAAACCTATCAAGAAAAACAGACTTGAAACAATGTGAAGAAATGGATGCAGACAATAAAAATAGAAACATTTCCCCTGTGAATATATATATGTATATACATAATTAGAGGCTAATAACTAATACAGGTCTTGCTAGTGAGAAGCTAAGCTACTCCTTGAATGATTAACTCGTTACTTATCACCAGACTGTGGATATCTTGCCTACAACAGACTGCCTAATACAGATCTTTTTCCAGTTCATTTTTATCAGTTCCCTTTGTCAGGCCCTGGTGGCATTGTTTGAGTTTGACTTTGCACAGAAGCCACTGACAGAGCATTGCCGAGCGTGCTGCTCTGCTGGCACAACTCAGGTTTGTCAGCGCAATAGACAGATCTCAGCCGTGCACCCCAAGTTCAAGACGCCTCCTGCCAATCCACCACATGCTAAATTCCAGTAAATTGCTTAATCAACATAACGAATGCAAACCCACTCCAGTCTGCACTAGAGGTAGCTGGAAATACCCTCTCATACATCACCAACAATGCCTGACATTTAACAATGCAGCCTAGATTTTATCTGCTCCTGAGAGCTGCTCTGTGCACACCCCTTGTAAAATTTCCTATTTCATTGTACAGGAAGTATTTCTGGTTAACTATTTTGGTAGTCTCATTTGTACTCCCTATTTCTAGAAAGGCTCATGTGTATGTTTAATGCATGAATAGTTCAAAGGGAGTCAATGGGAAAATTTATATCTTTAAAGTTAAGGGTGTTCACACCTCTTTATAAAGTCAAACTGGACTTTGCAACTATACCTAAAGCTTTTCTTCACCTGTGTCTGCCAGAACACACATAACACAACCAGATTTCTAACACCAGTCCATTGTTCCTCCATCTGGAAGCTCAAAATCCACCATTGACTTTTACAACCATCATACATGGCTGTCTTTCTTTTTCCTACTTCTTTCCCAAAATGCTCAGAACATGGGGCATGAAAACATGACTGTGGTGAGTAGGAAGGCGCGAGCACAGACAGATCCAGTTGATGATGACTGGAGCAGGAAGGTGGGCCGTGCTGGCAGTTGCTGTGGTCCCACATTGTGATTCAGAGGTTTGTGGTGGTGCCCATGGATGGGCTCACAGCACAGAGTGTCCTGTTACCAGACTGGGATGACCTGCACCCATTCCAACTTTGTTCTGGATCAAAATCCATGACCTAGACATCTTCTCTTGTCACTCCCCTGTATTCTTCATGGCCCAGTCACTTGTCACATCAAACATCAGTCATCATGTGGATGGCCTAACAGCACACTAATCTTTTGGTATAAGTGTTCCACTCAGAAAAAAAAAAAAACAAAATATAATAATCTGTGTCACAGGTAAAAAGGTAGCTGCATTTTTCCTATCCCAGTCTCATTTTCTCTATTGCAAGGCTGGGCCAGTCTTAGACTCAACAGAGTAGAGAAGTAAGCTCAGTAGAAAAGCACAACTGCTGCCTACGTAACGTTAAACTACCAAGTAGAAACAGCATTTTTTCCTCAGTGATTGCATTCCCTCCCACTCTCACACAAGCCAAGAGGAGTCTCTTGTGGTTACAGCCAGGGAATGGGAGACAAGCACCGGGCGGCTCTTGGCTCGGCTGGGTTTTTGTTTGTGTTGGACACATAGTGCCACTCCCCTCATCAGCTCCAACGTCCCAAAAGCAATTTGTTTTAGGTTAAAACCAGGAAAGTTGGTGCTTTCTTACCAGCGCACACTCTGGGGAAGGCTGCCCTGCTGACAAAGCAGCTGTCCCATGTTGTCCATGTCCAAGAGCCGTAGGCCCCATGGCTCCCACCCAATCTCAGGCGTGTCAGAAAAGCATAAACACAAACTTCCCAACCTTTTGCTACTAAGCCAGCTATAGTGCTGGTTTGGCAACTGCAACTCTCCATTCTCAGCCTCATTGGGCCCCATCAGAGCCACGTGGACACAGAGATCAGCTCACGCAGCTCAACTTGCAAGACCAGTGCCTTAATTTGTCATGCTCATGTAATAAATCAATTTATTTCCTGTAACCAAGGGTTAGTCAGCAAACTCTTACTCATGCATTTCTCATAGAATAAGTAAGTTACACTTCCCAGTGGCATTTGTGTGAATGCGGTTCTGACTGTGGCCTTGCCTTTGCTTCAGGAGAAGCAGCAAGGTAAGAAAGACTGGTTTGCCTGAGATATCAATTCTCTTGTGACCCCTCACAAGCAATAAAGACCTAATTTTTCTACCCATGGTGAAATGGTGCTGGATTGTGGTCTGCACTGTGTTCCCTACACCATGGCATAGGAGAGGGATGTTGTCCTCCAAGCACTTGGCCTGACCTGGATGCAAGCAGTTCACTTGCACCCCTCTGCCAACCCCTGGTTCATGTCCCAGGGGCGTATGCAGAGGTTCTTTGTGCCAGAGCTTTCCCACTGAGCCATGGGAGATCTCACCTATCCTTCTGGGCAAACAGATTGTTGCAAGAGCTACCTTTGGTTATCAGCATCACCAAAGGCACCTCTGCAGCTCCCTCTTCACCGCACTCAAACTGGTGTGCTCAGGTGAGCCTGCATGGGGGCTTGGAGCACAAAGATGTCAACATGAATCCCCTCAGCTCTGCTCCTCCCAACCTCTGTCTGATGGTTCTGTAAAACCTACGGGCCCATGTGTTTGGCCTGCCCCATGCAGCTGTGGAGTTCTCTCTCAGAGGAAGCGTCTCCCCATGGATTAATGTCTCTAAGAACTAATTATTGGGTAAGCTGTATAAACAGTCCCTGGAGTGCCTCTTCAGTACTCAGCTTTTGGGCTCAAACCAGGCCGAGCAGGCAAGAGGAGTTTCAAAGGACTGCCTGTCGGAGCAAGGGATGATGTAGGTGACTCAGTGGCTTTATCTCTCATAGCCTAAAAAGACAGAAATGTCGACAGTGGTCATTTGGGGTGAAAATTTATAGCTTATTAATTAAAAAAGGGGAAAAAGAAAAAAAAGCACCATTTCTAGGCCAGATCATAGATTCTGGGCTGCCATCCAGTGTCAGGAAATGTTCCCCTCCCGGCAGGGGATCCAGGCTAAAAGGTTATTTAATACTTTCTGGTTGATTTTGCATTTGGAATAACTGCCTTAAATGATTGGTTTTGGCCTAAGAAACTGTTTGCTTACCTGGCACCTGAACCTCGGTGATAAACTTTAATGTCCTCCTCTGAGTATTCCCGCAGCACGCAATGGAGACTGTGTGCAGTCCCACTAGCTATAAATCTGACCTTTTTTTAAGGAAAAATTCAAAATCAGATGTTGCTCACTGTCTTCCAACAGTCTTCCAACTCCCATCTATCCATCAACATCCAAAAGTTTTAAAAGCCCTGCTTAAGCATATCTCCACTCCATTGATGGAACATCCTTTAATATTTTATAGCTCTGACTCGCATGTCTAAAAGTACTAATTAATCTTGCTGGATAAAAACTGGCACAAAATGGCACAAGTGAGAATAGCTCCATCCTTCCTCCCAGCAACCATGTGCCAGTTCATCTTGGAGCATGTAATGATTTACTGTAATAGTTTCAGGCCCGTAATGGGGCCAATAACTGGCATCTGGAAGCTGTGAGGCTCCTTCCCAATGGATGCCATTCACATATAGTTATTTAATTAACTAACGGCTCCACTAGCATAAGCCAGTGAAGGGTCCATTAAAGCCTCTTCTTTTTTAATATCTTCCAAAGTAAGAACATATGCTGAGCACTGCCTTCCCCTTGGAGAGAGCTTAATGCTGCAACCTGTTTATCTTATGACTAATTTTCAGATTCCACCTTAACCAGCTGCTTTTCGCTCAACTTTGGGCTTCAGCAGAGAGCGCACTGCCGAGCGCGCAGCAGGAGCTGTGGGATAGCATTCTACCTGCATGTGCTCATTGCCGTGCGAGGTGCCAAACCCCTGCAAGGGCTGCCTGGGTGCACGTGAGGCGCTTTGCCCTCACCTGTCCCTCTGCTGAAGCAAACAAACACAAAGTAATAAATAAATCAAGGTGTGGAGTTCATTTGGAACAAGGAAAGCATCAGTGGGAAGGCAAACCGCACCAGACACTGGAGGGAGTTGGTCAGGTTTGCAAAAAAGCATTTGAGAGCCCGGTCCCATGTGAAACGTGGAAAAGCCATCAGGAGCCGTACAGCCAGCAAAGATGGGTTTAGTCTGGTTACAGCACCAAAGGATTTTGCTTCCCAAACGATGAGGATTCCTATTCATAAGGTGCAATTAAATATAAACCATGTCCAAATGGGTGCTGGTCTGCAGCAGGGTGAAGGGCTCATCCGCCAGCCTCGCTGCTTCTGCAAGGAGCTGAAGCAGGATGTAAGGGTCACTTCCCATGCCACAGTCTGGGCACAAATACTGGTGCTGTGCAGCAGGCATTATCTAAGGAGCTGCTTCATGAGGATGTAGGAGACACGGACTTGGTGAACCTCTCAAAAGACAAGGATGTCATTTAACAACTGTCTAAAGTAAGCACTGCTGACATGGCATAGCACTCGCTCCCTCATATTGGATCGTGATATATAGGACATATCAAAAGTTCCATAATCCCTCATGCAGAATCCTTTTCTCTGGCTGTAACGTGTTGAGTTGTTCCTCCACCTCCTGCTTTCCCTCCCACCGGCCCGCAGCACAGCCTTCTGCCTTTTGTGGTGGCATGCTGCAAAGCTTTGTTAAAAACCTAGTGCCCTAGAGTAGCCATCACCGAGAGCACCTCAGCTGGTGCCTCACCCCTGTGATCTACCATGGATCATCCAAGGGTTGTCAGGAAACCAGGGGAAGGCCAGCAAGAGCTTGGGTTGATACCCTTGTGTGAGGGATGTCAGGTTTGCTTTGCATAGATGTTAGGTATGGATGAGTGAAGGGGCATCTCTTTACCTTTGATGTTTTATGGTCCTGCCTAGGTAGAGCCTTAGGCCTGACAAGCCCGAAAAGTTCAGCACCGAGGTCACTTCCAAGTCCATCTGGGCCTCTGAAATTGCTCTTCAGCCTAAAACCCCTAAAGCAATCAGTCTGTCAAGGCTTCTAGGGCATGGCAAGACCTCAATGGTAGAGCCTTCCTCCTTATGAAAGGTAACGGTAGTCACTGCTGCTTGCAGACAGAGCAGGGAATGCAGAGGATGTGGTTCCCACATTTAGGCAGTGGCTTAATAGTAAAAGCACTCTCCAGAAAGTGGCACATGGGCCAAGCTCCTTCTCCTGTAGGAGGACACTCAGACACGCATCTCCCACTTCCCTCAGCAATATCTGACCCCCTGTGACAATGCACTGTCCTGGGCAGGAGGTAGGAGGGAGACACCATGTTTGTCGTTGCTAGTGACTGTATGACCAGTTATTTGCACAAACTCCACCAGAACTCAGGCTCTCACATCTCAGAAGAGTGCCAGAACCAATAGAATCATAGAACCAATAGGCCATGTGAGGTTATCTCAGCTAACTTCTCATATCAAGTAGCTAGATACCTAGATGTCTCATACATGCAGCAGAGAAACAGGCATTTCCTGTCCTGAAAGGAGACAAATATCTCTCTTGAGTCCCTTTTCCTCTCCACTGACTGTATGTGGAGCCTGGGGTGACTAACACAGTCTTTGAAGTCCAGCTGTTCAATATCTAAATCAGGGCAGATAAGCTCCCCCTTTCGTCCCTCCACCCCTCTCCTGTCTTCTCCTTCTATCCCAGCAAACCTCTCATGTTGTCACAGCTCTAACAGGAAGGCCTGGAAGCACATGGTTATCCCAGTCCCCTTCAGAACAACCCAGAGTTAGGGATTACAAGGCTCACCATGGTGCTGTGGGCTCAAAGCATCTCCAAAAGCTCTCCTGTGACTCAGAGACCCTGCAGCAGAGTTGGTTCATGAGACAGGGCTTCCTTTCTCAGCTTACGTTAATAGACAAGACGGACTGCTTCCCGGTTCTTTGCAACAGATGCTGCAGAATCTATCTTCTGCAAAGACCTGTAAAAAGAGTATTAATTAATATGGTAATTGATACACCGTGGCTGCTTTGTGCTTTTTGTGGAAAGCAAAGCAACTATAAACCCAGCTTAACTAGCTGTTTTGTTTTGATGATTTTACATCTTAGTACTCCAATGAATGTACTCTTTAAATGGGATTTAGGCCTAGCATTACTCATCTTCAAAATGTTAGAAGTATCCCACAGTAGCCATGACTTCAGGCTGCTTGATTACTGTTCATTTACAAATAAATTATCTCAAGGTGGAATGAAGGTTAAATCCATATATCAGGAAGTAAAATATCTCTGGCAGATTTTGCAACCAAACTAAAACCAAGCAGCAGAAAATCCAAAAGCTCTCATAGCTGAAGTTACACTTAAAAGCCAAACCAGGTAAGATCAGGAAGTGCATTCTGTAGCAGACAGATTCCCTGCTAGAGTTTATTTCATGAGATTCTATCATAGGTCTCAAGAAAAGATTTTGACCAGCTACAGCCATGGATTTTGACCTCTGCAAGGTCTTAGGCAAGTCCAAAGATCCAGTGTGGGACCTTTGTGTGCTGCCTTCCTACCCCCACATCCAGCCTCTAGACCAACCTTCTGTTTCTTCCCTAAGTTTGCAAACACCTTAGACTGAACTTCTGAAAACATTCAGAGGTTCTTTGAGTCTCTCCTGTGGAAGAAAACCCAATTCACAGCCCAAGAACTCCCTGGGCTGGAAACACAACGCTGTGATTTTCTGTTTCCAGTAGTGTTGCTGGAGGATCAGTATCGTTAAAACCATACGACAGAACTTTCACTGGACATATGCCGTATAATGTATAAACACTCAAAGGATTAACAGCAATCAGGGGATATATCTCTAGCTGTGCACACACAGCAAATCTACAAAGAAGGGATTAGAGATACAGGATACAAACCTGCAAGGGAAAAATACAGGGGAGCCAGGAATGAAATCACAAGAGAAAGGTTATTCCTGCATTTGTAAAATTTTATACAAATCCTTGTGTTACATGACAGTTCATTTGTGTTGCAGCAATATGTAGAGATCCTGCAATGAGAGATAGGTCACAAGATGCTGGGGTTTGTACACACTGATCATGAAACAAGTATCTATGCCCTGAAGCTGTCAGCCCAAGAGCTATTTCTTGCAAGTGCATCCACACGGCTGTACTGTTGATGTGTGGAAATCCAGTCCTAGGCATTAGCCCAAAATAGTTATTTAAAGAAACATCTTTATGATTTCAATGCTCATTATCAAACTAAGACAGGGTTATTATGAATTTTAACAAGAGCCACGCACACCCTAGCTAGCTTTACTCCATCACCCTGTTACTTAGCAAGTTTTTCCTAATCTCCAACCTAAATTTTACTAGCTGCAGACAAAGGTGGTTCCTTCTTTCCTTGTCCCCCATGGCCACAGGGAAAGATTTATCGCTATCCTCCTTACAATAAACCTTAACATATTGTACGATTTTTATCGTGTCTCCTCATTAGACTCTGCTGTTCCCAGACTAAACAAACAATCCTTTCAACATTTCCTCCTAGGTTGTTCCTTCTGTGCCTCCAATATTTCTCGTGTCTCTCTGCTGGACTCTCTCCAGTTTGTCTACATTTTCCTTACAGTGCAGTGCCCAAAACTGGACACTGTATTCCAGCTGAGGCCTCACCGGTGCCAAGTGGAGTAGAATAATTATCTCCTATGTCTTAGGTTGCAGTTGCACATCCTGTTCTGCCTGCAGCTGAGCTGGGTGAAAAGTTTATTTCTTTTCACTCACTCCAGCTGCTTATCACCACCGCTCAGCTGCAGGCTCTCCCCCTCCCAGGTCAACCAGCATAACCGCCGTATAATCGCTCCCTAACACAATCTGGGTAAAGGATCCCGGTTACAGTCAGTCATTCAAGTAACAGGTCTTTCCTGATCTTCAGTTTAACAGACCCAGGTAGGACTGAGGTATAATCAGGTATGAAGTGTGAAGTGTCCCTGCCCATGGCAGGGGGGTTGGAACTAGATGATCTGAAGGTCCTTTCCAACCCTAACTATTCTATGATTCTATGATTCTATGATTCTATGAAACTGAGACCCGATGTAGGAGGAGATGATGCGCAACAGGGTTATGGGCAGTGGCTTTCGCTGCTGGAGTAGCTGCAGCCAGAAAGGATATCTGCTGTTGTCCTTATATCCAGCCTTTAGTCCACTGTGCCCCAGTCCCTCCCAGTGCTGCTGCCCAGCTGGGAGGTCCTCTTTTTGCATCTCTCCTCCCAAGCGCAGTAGTTTGCACTTAATCATCAGGCTGATTTTGCAACATTTTTCCCCATTGTCAATGCCATTCTAAATCTGGATTTTGTTATCCTGAGTAAGACCATCCCAAAATACCCAAAGAGGTATTTTGTAAGCATATTCACTGTTCTCACACCCAAGGTGATTATGAAAAGTACAAAGACAACAGCGAGGTCTGTCTGAAACGCCATCCCTGTGTGATAGCAATACCTTCACAGCCCTCACCTACAGTTTCTCATCCACTTCTGCAGGCACCTTATGGTGACAAGGCTCTGTGCCTGCTCACAGCACCGCACACAACAGGGTCATAAGGCTTACCAGTGTCACAGTACAGATTTCTGTTGCTTTCTTCCACTTGCTCTACCTATAGAGAACACTCAGCAGAACACCACATGGGCTTCTCACCCTGGCAGGAAAACTACAACTGAACAACTTGGAAATACTGTACTGGTGAGACTGGAGATGAGCATTTCTTTTCTTAACCCGTTGCTTCTGCAAAGATATGATGGCGGTCTGAGCTGGCTGTGGATCAGTCGATCAAATTCTGTGCTGCTCTGCAGAACAGTGTGTTTTGTGCTCTGAAGAATGAAGGCTTGGGAAAACCACAATGCTAAGATGCTTTTGTCACAGAGCAGCAGAAGCCAAGGACTAGGGACATTTCTACACGAGTCAGGACCACCAGATACAGTGTGACCATTGAGGGAAGTAACCCTGAGGGAATGCCTCCCCCCTTCTGCTGTTTAAACAGAGTTATACTCATTTTCCTTCACTGCTTTCAGCTCTGGGTGTACCTGCATCCCACCCTTTGCTTATCCATGCGTTCTTTCCCTGTCCATCCTCATTCTGTGTTTTTTCCATGTTCTTCCTTCCATCTCCTCCCATTGAAACTTCCCTCCAAGAATTCTGCCCAGCACAGCTTCTGTTCATGCTGCAAACCCTGTTGATTTTCTCAGGCTCTTTGGAAGTGGAGGGTTAGGTAGTGCGAGCTGATGGCAGGATGAAGTAATAGGAGTAGAGATGAGGTGAAGTTCTTGTTCTGCCTTGAACACAGACTGCCAATCACACCATAATAGATGGTGGTTCTAGGCAGGGAACAGCTTTTCAGCCCACCAAAATTAGACCATTAAATGGAATTTCCTCTATGGGCTAATCAGGATTTGAACCCATTGCTCTGGAGATAAAAGGCACAGCTCAATCTCCTGATCTGCGAGGTCATCTGGAATACAAATCAACGTTCGTGTATTCATTTGAAATGTTTTTCTGTAAGAGATTTTTTTCCTTCTTTTTCTTTTTCATCTGCTTGTTAGTGCCTTGTGCCTAAACTGGAGCTGTGAAGTGACTTTTTCTCACTAGAGGCTAAATAAAGTACTGTACTGTTTTTATAAATGTCCTAAGCTTTGCCAGAAGGCTGGCAATGAAAGGCTGGCAGGAGACAGGCACCGTCTCTGTTCTGTATCACGGAAGTAAGCCCAAGGACACTGGCCAGTGCCTCCCATCCGCGGGAATGTGACCAATTAGCACGCAGATGATGTCATTGGATGGCAAGAGCACTTCCCTCGCAGCTCTCCCTGCTCTGCCAGCTCCAACCTTCAGTGTATTTTCCTCAGTCTGGTCCATGTACTGTAATAACTAAGTCAACTGGAAAAAATATTGAAGAAAAGACTGAGGAAAAACAGAGTGTAGGGGCAGCTGGAGCCAGCAAAGAAGGCACACTGAGAGTTATAAGGAAGCTTTGTGCACAGCGTCTCTCGACTTCAGGATATTTAGTTCCACAGGAGTTGGAGAAGATGGGTAATAAGCTGGCCTTTATTTTAAGGGATATCCCTTGTAGTGTCAGCTGCATAAAGATCAGTCTTGGGGTATGTGGAAACAGTGCTAACAGTATCTCTCTTTCAGTACCTCCCGCTGCTGACTCCATTGAATGGCCTTGGTCCAGCTAGAGAGGAAAAAAGCCTTCCATCCCAAAACAGCCTTCCATCCCCAAACAGTCATCAGTCTGAAGCAAAAGAGGTGATGAAAAGAGGCTGCGAGTGATGAAGTAATTATTTATAGAAAGATACATGACCACAGCACTCAGGTGCCTGCTCAGGAACAGGGCCGAGTACTGCTAATCCTGAATGTGGGGAATATGTGCCTGTGCTTCCCCCGCTCCAAAGCACGCACTGTGCACCACCCCGGTGTAGGCGAGGAGACCATGTCTCTTGGCTTCATGCAGATGAAAACCCTGTGCACAGGGTCACGGAGTACCAGCCTGGGCACAGGATGAGGCTACTCCAAGGGCAAGCCAGGAAGGTGAGGGCCAGTGAGGGACATTGCCAGGCTCAGATGTAGCTGCAGCATCACCCAGGCAAAGACCCAGGGTAGGGCTGGAGCACAGGCAGCACCTGAGCAAAGGGATCAGCCCCTGTTGGGGTTTCTCCCAGTTCATCTCACACAGCTCCATGCCCAGCAGCCTGCTCCCAGGTTGCAGTTGAACTGCATTGGAGCTGACCTGGATCACCAGAAGCCACTCAGAGGCAGGATGAGGTTTTTAAGAGGTTGTTGTTGCCCCAGGGTCTGGATGCACATGATAGAATTGGCCTACAGGGCTGACTACTCCATACAAACTATGAGTCAAGACAGCCAAATGGCTAGGTGCAATTCAGGAGTATATGCATATTTGAAAATCATTTTTTATTATTGTGAATCAATACATGCAATGCTGATTATGCATATATACAA